CTGAAGAACCTCCATCTGGTACCCATTCGAGATTTTGCTAAAGTATTGAAATAAAACAAGCGTAAGCTACTACTGCTTAGCAAGCATAACATGAGGGGATGCAAGCTCAAAAGACTTGACACGGCTGAACTGCGGTAAGCACTTTTAGTTGGTCATATTTTATTATTAATTATAAGTTGCTAAGTTATGCTTAGGCTCCCGAATATGAATAATTAGAGATATCAGCAATTTTAATTATAACCCAAACCATCAAAGTAATCAACTATTCAGTAAGGATCCAAGCTGCTTGTGTCCGTGAGCACGGCTGATATACCAGTTTTACACTCTGCAGAGGTCATACACTTTCACCATGAGTCATGTTGCCCATATGCCTGGGTTAATTACTCCCAAAACACTTCCAAGGTGAGCAGACAGGGTACACTACGAAGCTTTTCCCCAGTCGTTCTAATAAGGAGCGGCCGCTAAGGATTCCATCTCCCAAGTGTTATGGAGTCATCTCCAAAAGTGGCACTAATACATGCAGCATAGTACACACCCTGGGGATGAGGCCCATACCTAGCCTGGTATGCCCCTCTTGCCCTCTTCGGTAAACTGCTACAAACTAGAAAGAGCAAGGTACTAGACTAAGACCAGAGCCATGTGGTCCTCATGGTTGTATTGTAAGTCCTGGGTTGTCACTTAAAGATAAGTCCTTATGGAGAGAAACTAGAGCACCCTAAGAAAAGGCCCAATGCTCTAGCCCCCTTGGTTCCATGTTGCTAAAAAATATCTTTCAATACCATGTTGCATATGTCTTTAATTGTATTCTTTAATCAATATTAGTTGGAGCAAACTGAGCATACTATCCACATGCAAAACCCATAGGTAAATCAAGGACAGGATAATCAATATCAAGGTAAGTAGACTCCAAGCGGTTCATTAACATATGCATATGAATTGAGATCGCATTAAAGTGAATAGGCAACAAGAAGCCTCATATTATACTTGCTTTAATTCAAAGTATCGCTGCTAGTCTTGATCTTCAAAGAGTTGCTCCAGATCACCAACACAAAACTCACTGTCTACTCGAGATCAAACAACACCACACAGGCATCCACACATACATGCATAGCAAACAAATATAAGCTAATTAGAACAATACACCAAACAGTAGAAATAGAAGTTAAAAAGGTTTTAAAACTATTCTACGCAATGCTACGAACACGCAGATGCGATAATCACTCAAATCGGAGTTAAAATGGATAAGTTATGAATTAAAGAAGATTTCCTTTTATAAAATAATAAATTAAAGCTAACCTCGATTTTAAAAGTTAAAAACATACTTAACAGTAGTATGAACACGTAGATTATGGAATTACGAACCTAACGCAAGTGGAACGGATCAAATCAGAGCTAAAACGTAAAAGTTATGGCCTATAGAAACAAGTGGCAAAACTGTAAATGGATGGAAACGTATTCTGGATCTAAACCGAAGAAACTACGCTTTCTAAAGAAGAAAATGTACTCCAGAAAGATGCTATGGACTGCGGGTTAAGTTATTCAAAACCCCGAGGGCTCTTTAGAAAAAAGACAAGGACTGCGGGTTAAGACCTAATTAATTATAAGGGGGTTTTTGCAAAAATACAGACGAAGGGGTATCGGGCTCTGTCTGCCATTGGATCTGACTTGGATGGCTGAGATCAGATCAGAGGGAAGAGAGAGAAGACTGGACGGATAGCGGTGAGCAACACGGCAGCGCCATGAACGACGACGGGCGGCGCTCGTTGATTATAGTCTACGGACCACCATTGAACGAAGCAAAAGCATGGGAAGCTAAAGGAGACGACGATGAGCTCGTTCGGGTACCTTAGCAAGGCACAGGGTGGACGGAGTCGACGTGGTGCACGGTGAGGTGGACGGCGTTAGCGGCAGCGCTAGGTCACAATGGCTTGGCGTCTCGACGAGGGTGGCTGTGGCTCTAGAGCTCGAGATTGGAAGCGGCGGACACGAGCATCCGGTTTTATGAGGCGGAGGCGGCTTGGGCGGCACGACAACGGAGCAGGCATGGCCAGCGTGGAGTTGGAGGCGGCGGTGCAGTCGTGCCCGAGGCGGGCACGGCGTGGGAGAAGCAAGGCGCTGCTGATAGGTGGGACCGAGTTGGAATGCTAGGCCGCCTGCTTTGCTGTGCCGCTGCGGAAGAAGCGGGGCACAGAGAAGAAGGAGCGGGCCGGCGCTGGAGCTGGAACAGGCCGCGGCACGTCTGGCTGGGCCAACAGACCGAATAGGGAGAGAGAAAGAAAATTATTTCCCCCTTTTTCTAATTTCCAAACCTATTTTGAAATACAAATTCAAATCAATTTGAAGTTTGATTTTCAAACCACACAATACAAAAACAATATGCAGCAACATGAATAAACATGTATGTAGGTAACCTTATATTTGATTTTAATTTGATAAAATTTTATTATTTGTCTAAATTCAAATTTTCACAAAAATGCATAATAAATCAAATTCTGCTATTTTAAAATATTGCAAATTTAAGGGTGTTACAACGCCGCACCGAACAGGGGTTATAGAGAGCCTGTTTTTTTTGGTGGTTTTGGGCATTGTACTCACCGGACATGTGAACAGATCCAACATCTAGTTTTTGGGCCATTGGAAAGTAGCCATTGGGGCATCTTGTGCGATGTCCGATGTGCCACCGGACATGTCCGGTTCCCCTGCAGAAACTGCATCAACAGGATAATGGTTGGTTTGTTGAGAGGGTCTATAAATAGACTTGGTGGCCGGCCTTATCCACACTCTTGGCACCCCATACACTTGTGCACACCTCTTGATGTCTGAGAAACACACTCCACTCACTTTTATCATTTGATTCTTCATTTTGGTGAGATATATTGGAGAGCCTCTAGTGCATTTGCATCATGTCCTTGCATTTTGTGGCACTAGTTGGGCGAGTTGGGCTGGTGAATCTCTTGTTACTCTTGATGATTATCATCACCTAGCTGGCCCGGTGATTGGAAGGATCATTGAGAGGCTTTGGTGATTGTTGTCGGCTTCGATCGAAGCTATTGTAAGAGGCTCTTGTGCTCATCTTCGTGGGAGATCGTGAAGGGCAACTCTAGTGGAATCATAGCAAGTTGGTGTGCACCTCTTGAGTGCTTCTTGCAGCACCCAAGTGGTGGGTTTGGCATGTGAGGCCAATTAGCTCGTGAACCATCAAGTGGGGATCGGACTCGCCACAACAAGGACATAGGTTGTCGGCAAGCAACTAAACCTCAGGGATATATCTTGTATCATCACTTGCCCTGTATGGTTTGCTTACTATCACTCTTGCTTTTACATTCATATTCTTGCTAGTGTGGTTGTTGTGTGCCTTGAGCTAGTGTAAAGTAGTGTTAGCTCTTTGAAGGTGTAACTAGTGTAGTGGCTTTCTTAGTAGCTTTAGCTAGTTGTAGCTCTTTAGTCTTGTTAGTAGGTTGCTTGTTTGTGTGACTTAGATTAGAGACCAAGGTCCTAGCATTGTTTAGGGGCTTGCTTTGGGTGTCAAAGTAGAAGCTATTTGGGCCATTTATTATAATAACCACTTTGCTCTAGTATTTGTAGGTTTGTAGGAAAAATTTTATAGGCTATTCACCTTCTAGCCATCTAGATCCTATTAGAATGGGACAAGGAGGGTGCCGAGCTCACCGATGTCATGATTGCTTATGACAAGTACGAGCTCATCAAGGCAGTGAAGACCAAGGCAACTTTAGAGTCCGGTGTCCCAACCATGGCGTTCAAGACGTTGGATGACACCAAGTGCATCCAGCTTGACGCTGGTGACAACTCCAAGACGACCAACATCAGCATGACCCTCCGTCATGTATAGGAAAGCGCGCTCGTCAACTTTCTCCACAAGTATAAAAACATCTTCGCATGGAAGCTGTTTGGCATGTGCCTGGTGTCTTGAGGATGGTTGCAGAGCACTCCCTAAAGATTAAACCGAGCTCGAGGCTGGTTAAGCAATGCCTATGTCGATTCCACGAGGAGAAGCGCAGGTTCATAGCTGACAAAGTAGCTAAGGTCTTACTCCCTTTGTCCCAAATTATCTGTCACTTTTAGTTTCCGTGCCGCAAGTTTGACTCGATTTGTAGAAAATGCGTACAACATTTGTATCTCTAAATAAATTTATTAAAAAATTAGATTCAAAGATCTTTCCAATAATACCAATTATGAACCATAAATATTAATATTTTTTAATTTATATTTTGTCAAAGTTGTTTTTCAGGAAGCGAAAACGATTAATATTTTGGGACGGAGGGAGTAATTAGCTGCCAGCTTCATTAGAGAAGTCCGACACCAGGAATAGCTAGCTAATTCAGTCCTTGTAACAAAATAGAATAAGCAATGGAGCACGTGCATTGATTATACGGGCCCGCATCGATCCTTACTATTATTGAGTTGCTCGCTCGTGCCTCTTATTATTGCAAGATGTAGTTGGTGAATGGTGACTGGTGAGTCGTCAAGTTCTGATAGTTATATATTAACAGTGTGACGTTATAGTAACGCTTCTTTCCGTGGTGTTCACTTGTGACGTTATGGTGACTGGTGTTCACTGGTGAGTCGTCAACATCCATGCCCATGCTATTCCTGCTTAATAGGATATTTTTCTTTCACCAGCAAACCCTACCTTCCACCTATATATAACTTGGTCCTCACTTGTATATTATATATTCAGTCAGTCACTCAACACCCACGCAGAGAGAGAGAGAGAGAGAGAGAGAGAGAGAGAGAGAATGGGCAGCACAACAGGGCTTGTGGACTGGCGAGGGAGGCCGGTTGATACCAAGAAGCATGGAGGAGTGAGAGCTTCAATGTTTATCCACTGTAATCGACGCTCTTTTTCACCTTAATTAATATTTTGAATACATTGTTTTGATCTGCGATGATGTTTATACTCCCGCTGCAATAAATTAAACCTGACAAATAAATATAATTCACACCCTTGTAATGTTCACCGTTCTTTGCTCTATCTGCGCATGCTTGCAGTCCTGGTATGGCTCGGCAACGTAGTCAACATCGGCAACAGCATGAACATGGTGAGCTACCTGCGTGGCACAATGAACATGGGAGTCGCGGCCGCCTCTACGACCAGCACCATGTTTTTGGCCGTCATGCAGATGTTCTCCATCCCGGCAGCCTTCGTCGCGGATTCCTACATCAGGCGCTTCTACACCGTTCTCATTTTCGCACCTATTGAGATCCTGGTATATCTTTAACTCGTTCTTACTACAGCATAATAGCTCCTGCAGCCCTTGACTCTTTAGGTGAAAAGTAGCTAGCATAACTAATAAAAATATCGCTGCAAAGCTAGCTCTTCTCTTTGACTTACTCCAAATGGTGCCTGAATCCATTGTGCATGTGGCCATACTTAGCTTATTTTCATTTATGGCAATCATAACTTGGGCAACCGGATGTTCAGGCAAGTATACATGATGCTGACACAATTTTTTGCAAAAAAAAAATGGTGTCAACATTTGTAAGAAAACATCATCATTTCTTGCACCATAAATATGGGTTCCACCAATGAAAATTTGTGCAATTTTAGTTAACAATATATATTTTGAATAAAACCTAATAATAAAAAGTGCATTCATTGCATTTTTTACAAAAAAAATGATCTTGTTATGCATGCATATTATTTATACCTAACAATAAAGAGGCAAAATTTTCAGCCATTTTTCTTCGTCCATCCATTTTTTTGGTCCGTCTCCCTCTAACTACCGGATAATGGAGAGTTTCTTCCATCCATACTTATATATATACAATCCGTGAGCATACGAGTTAGAATAACTCTTGTCTAGCGCAATACAGAGTCCGATTTCAAAACGTATTGGGTTGTATGTGGTCTATGTTTAACCAAAGAGTCTATACTCCTACGCAAAAAAAAAGTCCATACCCAATTCGATTACTATATATAGTTAATTCGTTTTTTTCCTATATCCGATCCGTTTTTTATTTTCGTATTCATTCCACTTCTTTTCCTGATTTCCTCTTTTTGTTTTTTCTTCTTTTTCCTTTTTTTTTCTTTTCTTGACTATCAAGTCGGTTCATACCCTTTCCCTTATTATTTTGCATGTCATCTTTGTTTTCCCCGATTCTCTCATGATTTTTCTTATAAACATAAAAAATAATAAACACAATATTATGGGTCTTTGGATCTTCATCCTTCCCTAATCTTAATAATAATCAAATATTCCTACTACTAAATTATTGATGTAATTTGATTAAGAATAAAAATGATTCTTATTATAACCTAGATCAGATAATGGTCTAACTAATTAAATCATAAACAGAAATATTAGAAGTTTATTGTCTAATCTAACCGGGAAGCGGCAACTGGGGTTGTGCCTCCCGCAGATGTGGCGCTGCGGGAAGCGGTGGCTACCGGGCGGCGAGAAGGCCACGACAACCTGTTGGGGTCGGGAGGCGAGAGGAGAAGGTGCAGGGGGAGGAGGTGGCGGACGTTGCGAGGTAGCTGCTGCCGACGGCAGCGACGGCGAAGCGGACGCGGCCACTAGGATGGAGCCCTAGCGAGCGAGGCGAGCTGCTTGCAGGGGTTCCTCTTTTTCACTAAAGTTTTCTGCTCTTTCATGGATAATTAAGCATGTTTATATATTTCTACTGATTTGGTATGACATAACGAATTTGCTAATTTGGCTGACATTATTCTAAATTGTACTTTTATAGACCGTCAGTGTCCTAATGTAATTATTGCTTCATTGCCGATGGATTAAATGCAAAATATACATATTAGCAACTAAGTAGAGATACAAGTTTTGATTTCCTCCCGTTGCAACGCACGAGCATGTTTGCTAGTAATAACAAAAACCAAGATGCTCAAAAAGTAGAAACATATAAAATTTCGCCCACGTTTTAGTGGTCACCATTCACCAAGCTCTGTACACAAACACACCTGTTTTCTGGCAGGGCTATATTCTACTGGCCATCCAGGCTCATGTCCCATCTCTGCACCCGCCACCATGCCAAGCCCCAAACAACTGCGAGCCAGTCCATGGCTCCAACCTGAGCCTTCTGCTGCTGGGCATCTTCATGATCTGTATTGGTGAAGGCGCCATCCGAGCATGCCTACCAGCTCTTGGTGGTGACCAGTTCGACAAATCTGACCCTGTCGAGCAGAGGCTGGAGGCAAGCTTCTTCAACTGGTACACCTTCGCCGTCTCGTTTGGGGGCCTTGTTGGGTTGGTGCTCATCGTCTGGGTGGAGAACAATAAAGGATGGGACGTTGGATTTGCGGTCTGTGCTGGGATCGTGCTCTTGGGCCTTGCAGTTTGGTCTGCTGGATTCCCATTTTACCGGAATCGATTGCCATCTGGAAGCCCTTTCACAAGAATTTTGCAGGTAAGGATTATTAGGAATTGTTCCATGCATGTGCATGCTTTCTATGCTTTTAGCGTTTGAAATTTGTGCAGCAGATGATAAATTGTTTTTTAGAACTTCTTGTAAAGACAAGAGAGTAACTTTTTTGATCCCATCTCACCAGTTTTGCAAAATTTAATTGTGTGTAAAAGGTACTTGCTGCTGCATTCAAGAAAAGAAACCTTCAATTGTACAACAATCCAGATGGATTGAATCAGATCACCGGAGGCAATGCAAAAGGAGTTGAAGTTCTAGAAAGAACAAAAGGATTACAGTATGTTCAAAATCCATGCGTTAAGTTATCTTCGTCTCTCTCTTGCATATAATATCTTAATGATTGTTAATCACTGCATGTGTAAGGTGCCTAGACAAAGCTGCCATAGATAATGGAAAAGGAGGATCCTGGTCCCTCTGCACTGTACATCAAGTAGAGGAGACCAAGATTGTTATCCGCATGATTCCGATCTTCATCACCTCTGCGCTTGGCTACATGCCTGCTTCCATAATCCTCACATTCACTGTTCAGCAAGGCAATACCATGAACACGAGGTTTGGCGCGATCAATGTGCCCCCAGCGACGCTCTTTGTCATTCCAACAGTCTTTCAGCTGGTCGTGCTAGTGGTATATGACAGATTTATCGTTCCATTCCTGCGCAAGAAGACTGGTTATGTGGGTGGTGTCACTCACCTCCAGCGCATTGGCATCGGCTTTGTTGCCGCTATTATGGCCAGTGGGGTTGCAGCCATTGTGGAGATGAAGAGGAAGAGTGTTGCAGAACAAAGTGGCCTCATGGATTCACCTGCTCCGGTTCCAATGTCTGTCTTCTGGCTTGTGTTTCAGTTCTTCTTCGTTGGGGTTGTGGATGTTACTTCTTTTGTCGGGCTTCTCGAGTTCTTCTATAGCGAGGCTTCTATCGGTATGAAGTCCATTGGGAGCTCCCTTTTCTACTGTATGATAGGAGTGGCAGCGTGGCTTGTGACTTTGCTTATTCAGTTAGTGAATCGGGTCACGAGGGACGGTGGTAGGAAGCAAGGGTGGCTGGATGGAGCAAATCTTAACAGGAGTAAGCTTGATTCATTCTATTGGTTGGTCTGTGTTATTGAGCTCCTGTCATTCTTGGGTTACGTCTACTGGGCCCGGAGGTATGTCTATAGGAATGACCAAAGAGTGGTCGACAAGGACAACAAGTCTCCAGTAGATTGTGATATGGATGAGATATAACTATGAACATCTGGGATAATAAAAGCTAAGCTAGTTTCTTGCAAAGCCTAGAGGCAATTTGGCATGCTAGCCAGGCAGCTCTAAAATTGGTTTTTGTACTAGTCAACTTTGATATGAAGATGTTTGTGTGGAATTTTTAGACAGCATGTTTTCATATCACTAGGTCCATCTTTATGTGTATGGGCAAGCCGAAAAGCACAATGTTTAATATGGTTAGTTTACACGAAGAATGGATGGTAGTAGTGCGTACAAAGACAGGTAGCTGACAGAGCAACTTAGTCAAGTGGAAATTTTGTTGCTTTATTTATTTGTGGCATGCTTGTCGTCTTTGTTATGGTATCTTGCACTTATTTGTTGTACTGACTTGTGCATTTGTAGTACGTTAACAATTTAGGATTGAATTACATCTTGCACTGAATGGTTAGAGGATGCGGTTGAGTCTAATGTCCAATCGACGCATATTTCACTCAGAACAACATAGTAGCCTAGAGCATATTTTGCACCTACAAACATTAATTTGTACCTGAAGTTGATAGGGAGGCATATGTTAGTGCAATGTTAATTGATTATGATAAATTCAAGGAAAAAAGGTACTGTTCAAATTTTATTGTGAAAGCCTCGGCTATTTTCTCCCTGTTACATGCCAACATGTACTAGTGCATAAGCCCCACATGAATGGCTAAGATGTTGCTGTGGAATGTTTATATAGTGTTTTCCCTCCCATTGTCTTACGTTTATGGGTTCGTAATTGTAACATTGGGTCTGCTCGCTTGGAGGAATTCTGGAGGAATTTGGATGGTTTGGAGGAATGCTGGAGGAATTTGTGAGAGAAAAACACTGTTACGGATGAAAAAAGAAGCGGATCAAGCCGGGTTTAAGGGCACGTAAACGGGGCCATTGCCAACGTGAATAGGTTAATGGTTTTTGCATACATTTATAGGTACAATAAAATGTGCGTTATTGTTTTGTTCATCGATGTACTCCTTCACATACCATTAGCCTGTTTCTTAAGTGCAATGACCAATCTGCTAGACACCCCACACGATTGAGACAAACTTCCTCCCGTACGTAGTCGGGCGAACCACCTCTAGCACCAATCGAACCAAAGATCCAGCGCCTGATGATGGGTAAGTCTACCTCAAGTGCCCTCAATGCTCATGGAGGGCAATGAGTTGGTGGGATGACTACCCTCGAGACAAGACCTCGAGCAAATGCCTCACTAGAAGATAGAAACTTGACCTCCCAGACTTAATTGGGTGGCAGCGTGAGACTATCTGGGCTAGAAGCGGTAAGAACATGATAATACGAGATGAGGGACATAGCAACTGGCAAATATCACCGAGCCGCCTAGGTGGCGTAAAGGGTGTGGGGCAGAGATTGATTAAACAAGATGAGCAACATGGCAGCGACTAGACCTAACTTGGATGGGAGCTCTTGACTAAGAGACGAGCCGAGAGGAGGGTATATGGGGCTGAACAATTACTATTGGAGATAAAATGCAATTACAGTTATGGCCGTAGCAAAATAACTCTTATTCCAATAATTGCTTTTTAAAATCAACGCCAGCAATATTTACACACAAAAATACCTAGAAGTACCAGCTTTCCACTACCAACCACTTTAAGAAAGCTCATAATTCATAGGTTGGGGCCGGTTGTGGTGACATTTGCATATATATATTTTGCCCTAATGGCTGAGTCTACAAAAGAGAATTTCAGGAGCCCTGTCAACAAATGTGATGTAATCCACAGTTTTGTAGGAAGGAGATCTATGAGTATTGTTCAACAAGCACAAATTAAGTATTCATTAAGACACGATCATTGTCTTTGTTTTTATCGTTTCACTGTCCTTGGACTGTTGGACATCCTTTGCCAGGTGGTTTGTTCCTCACTGGACAGTGGACACTGCTTCCTTTTGTTAAGCCTTCTTTCAGACCTGTTTTCTTCATCGATCTGCCGAGATAAGAGCCGCTACACATAGCACCAGGCATGAGCCAACAAACAAGCTTAGATTGCAGAGCATAATCTGGAAGATTTTCACACACACACGCGCGCGCGCAGAGAGAGAGAGAGAGAGAGAGAGAGAGAGGAATGGGCGGTTCATCAGGCCTTGTGGACTGGAGAGGACGGCCGGTAACACCAAGAAGCACGGAGGAGTGAGAGCTTCAATCTTCATTCATGGTAGGCCAGTAGTACTAGCATAGCATCCATAGTTCATGGGGCCTGTTTCTTTTGAGTGCTCTCAGACCCTTGCTCAACTGTTGAGTCCAGTAATCGTCGATGATATAAAGTTCCCTTTTCAAAGTGTTTCAGATCTGCTTTCTCATAATCTAAAAGTATATATGCACAGTTGCACACAACACACATCTGGTTTAGATAGCTTATTATAATGTCTTCTTTAGCTAGGTTGCTCATCTAGTCATCTTACCTACTCCTGCTTTTTTTGTTCTCTCCAATAATTCAGACAGACGTGACCTATTTTGTTTCACTGGACATTGACATCGCCATGGTTGATCTTAGCAATCGGTTTCTCTATCAAACGTTCCGTTTCACATGCACAAGGCTCCTTCCGTCCTGCTCACAGTTTTTACCTGTTCGTGCACCTCGATCTTCCTTGCAGCGCTGGTGCTGCTCAGCAACGCAGCCAACATTGCCAACATACTGAATCTTGTAAGCTACCTGCGCGAGGAGATGCACATGGATGTGGCGAGGGCCTCTACGATGGCGAGCAACTTCTTTGCCGCGCTGCAGATGTTCTCCATCCCAGCAGCCTTCCTTGCTGACTCCTACGTCAAGCGCTTCTACACTGTCCTCATCTTTGGCCCAATCGAAATACTGGTATTGTATAAGTTGTTACTCCATTTTTTCAGACAAGGTGCCTCTATATTTTTAATTGTTCCTTCTAAGGTATTACTTGTTTCAGGAAAAAAGATAATATTCCTGTTCTACACATGCTCAACAGTTTCCTTGTCATGTGATCATGTCAACTGCTAGCTAGTTGTGTAGTGGAGACACAAGTCTTGTCATTTTCATCTTTGTTTCATGGTCAGTAACTAAAGTGTAATAATTGTCAGATTGAACAAATGCACTCAGATCCGATCCGATCCATAAACATGCTCATCATGCACATGTCGCAGGCTCGCAGCGCTCTGCGAAGTGGTACAAAACCAAACTATTGGGATAAGATGATGCTTTTGCTTTAATATGCTGAACTGACATAATGTTGGTCTGACATGGTGTATAGTAATGAACCAGCACATATATATCTTTGTTGAACGCATAACAGAAGATTATTAAGTTTTTTATGATGCATTGCATTGGTGAGGATGCAGCAGTGACTAGAACGAAGATATGTAGAAAACTTCTCTCAACACTTAGTGTACAAGTGTATCATCTATTGCCTTCTGGTTTGAAACTAGAAAAAACTTTCAACAACTTCATTGGTGAGTTGATCGGTGCCACTCATATCATTTGAGTAGATTGATAGACTAGAATTAGTGTTATGCTGCCTTTTGGGTTAGAGCTTTGGAATTACTCTCCGTGACCAAAAAGTCAGTAAGCACTGGAGGTTGATGGAGCTGGTCTTCTACTATATTCTTCGGTGGTGGTCTGTCGTCACTCTGCTGACTTTATTTAGGTGTCACGTATGAGTAGTTGGTGATCTGTCACTCCGGTGACTTTAGTATTTGGTTGGGTAAGTAGGGTTACCAATAATGATTCACTTCAGCTTCTTTGCCGAGTGGCTCAGGCACTCGACAAAGGCCAAATTGCACTCGGCAAAGCCTTTGCCGAGTGCGGCACTCGACAAAGAAGACACGCAAAAAATTGATCGGCAAAGACCTCTTTGCCGAGTGTCTTTTATCGGGCACTCGGCAAAGGCTTTGCCGAGAGTCCCGGGGGCACTCGGCAAAGAAAAGCGACCGTCACGGCACCGAATCCGTTGACGGTGGCTTTACCGAGTGCCAACCCTGCAGGCACTCGGCAAAGATTTTTATTTTTTTAAAAAAATTCTTTGCCGAGTGCCAACCCAGCAGGTACTCGGCAAAGATTTTTTATTTTTTTAAAAAAAAAAAATTCTTTGCCGAGTGCCCACTGGCCGGCGCTCGACAAAGTTTGAATTTTTTTTTTAAAAAAATTCTTTGCCGAGTGCCCTCTTGCCAGCACTCGGCAAAGTTTGATTTTTTTTAAAAAAATCTTTGCCAAGTGCCCTACGGCCGGCACTCGGCAAAGTTTGAATTTTTTTAAAAATTCTTTGCCGAGTGCCCTCTGGCCAGCACTCGGCAAAGTTTGATTTTTTTTAAAAAAAAATCTTTGCCGAGTGCCCTCTGGCTGGCACTCGACAAAGTTTGATTTTTTTTAATTCTTTGCCGAGTGCCCTCTGGCCGGCACTCGGCAAAGTTTGAATTTCCCATGTTGCTCACTTTACTCCTTGCTTTTACCTGCAAATGAACCAAACAGCACAAAAGAAAATAAGTAGCCAATAATGAACTAAAAGAAAATAAGTACCAAGTAATGAGCTTAAATAGATCTAACAATACCTAGGCTAACAAAAGCTCTAATTAGCATTTGAAAATCCACTAAGCTCCAAAACTATAAACTGCTAGCTCTTGAAACCAAACTGCAAGTACATGCAAAGCCATTTCAACTATTTCGTTCTGCCTTCACTGAAAAGCATGTACTGAAACTGAGGTAATTTTGCAATTACAGAGACAACTACCGACACAACCTGAGAAGTGAGAAGCACAAGAACTGATGGACCAACACAACCTGAGAAGCACAAGAACTGATGGACTTGCACCTGTCCTCACGGAGTTCCAAAACCCAAATCCAAGCAAATGAAATAAAATAAGTTTCTGAACAGGCCATTTGACATTGCTAACAACCTTGCAAGTGAATCATACATATTCGAATCAGATTGTTATATGGCAATAAAATAAGTTTAAATTTACCAAATGCAAGCAGTCAGTTCTTACTACTGACTTTATAGTTTACAGTCCTATC